GCCAGGGCCGATCAGCAAGGCCTGCTGAAGCACTCTTCACTGCCCACCTTCAGGGAGAGCCCCAGGGCTGCCAGCTCTCGGCACCCACCTTTCCACAGGCGGCGCACAAAAGGCCCTGTACGGCTCACCGCGTGGCCGCTACACTCACAGAGGATGCAAAGGGGACAGGGTCCCCGACAGCCGCAGAACTAATCTGGGACTGAATGAGAAAGACAGGCCCACAGAGGGAATGTTTAGACCCACACTGGCATCAGAGGCCCCTCTGCGGACATTGCTTCAGCCCCCAAACGCTTCCCTTTAATTAAGAAGCAAATCAATCTTAATGTCCAACACAGACATTCCATGTTTTTTTGTTAAAATTAATATTTTACACTTTTTGWAACATGCCTTGCCTTATTTGTTTGCCTGGTAATCACATAGTTAACTGCACTTGAAATTATAATCTTGAAATTATAAGAGAAAAAAATTAAGGTTTTTTTTGTTTACTTAAAGTAATATCAAAACATTTGGTTTTCACATGGGTTTTACTTAAGCTTAATTTTATATGAAATATGTAGCAAGTTAACATATGCAGTAATTACAGAGCGGCCCCACAGCAGCAGAATTAGCTTACATCTTCAGGAAACCAAGATATGTTGGTCTTATTCTGGCAACAAGTCAAGAAATCATGTAGAAAAAGTCAATAAAACAGCAAAAAAAATCAAACAACACCCCTGTTATCACAGTATTCAGAAATTATGCTTCTTAAAACTATCTTGCAACATTAAGAGATGGTGAATAACCTCAGCAGCAGTTAAAAAGGGTTTTAATTCACTTAAGTAAAAGCCTATGCCCATGCTTACCTCTAAGGATGCTAACTTCCCTCTGATGGCCAGGCTACAGAGTGGAAAGCATGGCTGTGCCTGTCCTGCAACCCAGAACAGCAYGTTCTCAAGGCTACCTGGACAGGAGCACAGAGCTCCTCAGAGACTGCAGCAGGAGGTGAAATCTGACCCACTCTGCCTGCTGTCCCCACCCCTTGTATACAGAAACAATACAATAATAGCAATCAGCTTGCTAAGTCATTCCTGCCGTCATTCCACACCTTTTCCTTTTTCTGGCACACAACATATCTATACCAGATTGTGCATATGCTGTAGAAATTCACACGGCATCGTGTGCAAGAATGGCCTGACCCTGTCCCATAACCTCTCTCTGTAACACAGAATTCACTGGCATCCTTTCTGTTGATCACTGGAATATTCATTTAAAAATATGTTCAGTTTTAAAAATGTTATTTAAAAAAGAAATGTTTGGAAGTTCCTTTCCTCCTTCCCTTGGTTACTTTCTACCTTTCATGTTTCAGATAAAAACAGTCTGCCTATGGAGGTTAAAAAGTGGCTTCAGTATTGTCCCCTTTGGTATGCTGAATTGTGAATGTGTGTGTGTGTGTGTGTGTGTGTGTGTGTGTGTGTGTGTGTGAGCGTGCTGGGGATGAAGACAGACCCCAATCTACAGATGAAAGAAAAGGACCTCTTCACCCATCACGGTGGCCTTCCTTCCCTGAATTTAACCACACTCTGCGAATTCCACTCCACTGGTGAATTCTTAGGTCCTACACTCACCACATTTGAAAGGATTTTTAAAGATAGCCATTTTCTGTAGGTTGGCAGAAAACAGATACTTGGAAGCATTAAGTGCCAACAGACAAAATGCAGGATGGAAAACTTCAAACTGTTATGTTCTTTTGTTCTTCCTTAAATACTTTCTAGGGGCAGTAATATACATCTTTCTTAAATTGCATTTTATGGGACACAGAATAGCAACATTACACCTTTAAAGTTCTTAGTGGGAGTTAAGTGCTGCACTGTCACTGAAGTTTTAATGAGTCTTTCTTAGAACAAAAATCTTCAGCTGGTTCAAAGGATGTCATTATTGGCGGAGTGGACTTAACTGAACCCCCCAATGCACCACATTTATTTCTAAAATAAGAATGAATAAATTAGCAAAACAAGAGAATTTAAAAGACAGTTTCTATTGGGAATGTAAATCTCAACAACTGTAAAATAGGTTTTAACAAAAAAATAACTTTAGACCTTTCCATGAATCATCTTTACTTTTTCTCTTTCTAGATCCATCATCATTTCATTCCTTCAGGGACACAGCACCAAAACTATGTTTGTATAGTGATTTTTCATTGCTTGGTTAAAAAACAAATTCTGAAACGTAAGTCACAAAAAATATTTTTTTATTGTAAGTTAATGTGATTATGCATTTTTGCCCCCCATTATACTAAAAAATTTTGCATATTGCATTTGATCTGCATGGCATTATCAAGAGGCTTCAATGTTACTGCACGGTAGATGGATCTATTGCTTTAATTAATATGTCATGCCTAAAGTGATACAAAGGAATTATTTACTTTGCTTCTAAAACACTGTAACTTAGCTCACTTATAACTTCATGTACAACATGTTTATTTTCACTGCATTTAACAAAATTAAAATTCTGAGATCTGATTCATATTGGAGTGATTTGGTTTGTACAACCATTTATCTCTTAAAAAGCCCTTTACTTGGTTATCTTAGAGTAACACACATGAATATTCCCTGACTTCACAGGCAAGAGTATCTTTTATGCTTCATGAACAATCTGCTTCAGAACAATTAAGTCAGAAAGAACTTGCTGTAATAGTTTGCCTGAACTACCCTTCAAACAGGCAGGGAAGCTGCTGCTTTACTGCAGCTCACCCAGACAGGCTATTTTTGGCCTATTGCAAAATATGATCAGGAACTGTGGCAACTCGGAGATCAGAACCCGGAGAGCTTGGAAAACACAGGCCCGGCAAAATCTCCAGCCCTGCTACGGTGGAAAATCTGGATGTGGCAAACCTCTAAATAAATACAAGCCCAGCAAGGAGAATTCAAAATAGAAATTGTAAATAATTGCTTCATGCGAGGTTTTCAACGGCGAGCAGGCTGTATATCTTCCAACATGTTTACACTATTAAGTTCACCATGCTCACATTTCTGAAGTGAAATTAAAAATGAACAGCGGTGCCTTGCCTGTTAATTGTTAAATACAAGAGGTTTTAGTCTATTAATTAAAATATGCTTTAATAAAAGGAGACATTGCACATTTTGATAACGACCCTACAAAGCTGAGAAGTATTTACATTGTTGCATTTTGGGGCGGCTGTGAAAGCCGATTTTAAGCCATTCAGGAGCCACAATAATAAAGCTTTAAAATTCCTCACTGGGATGCAATGTAGTTCTTTTGAAGGAAAGACTGTCTTTCTCATTCGGCAGAAATAAATCCATTCATTTGATCATGTAGTCATTGAGGGCAATACAAAACAAACCAAGTGTGAGAAATTCTATGTGAAGAAGTAAACAAAACAAAAAAATCCATTTCCATGACAAAAAGATTCTTTGTCCTTAATCTACCCAACATATGCAAGCGTTTCTTTTTAGCATATCGCCTGTTCCCATCTCGGCTGACTTGGATGCAGATACAGCTCCCTCACCTCCACAGCAACAAAAAGACCTCAGAGTCTTAAATTTTATTTAATCCACTTCTTCCCTGGCCTGTTTCGGGCGTTTTCTCACTTTCTCCTTCCGACGTGGATATCTGCCTGCTTTGTCAAACTTTGCACCGTGTGTGATAAACTCTCAAACTCCTTCAATATTTTTTCGCAGATGGTCTAATTCTCACAGTAAAAAAAAGATGATTATCTGCCTCTGAACAACTTAAATAGATGCATCACAACAGTGGGACAGCCATTTTTTAAAAAAATGAACAAATTATTTCACACCGCGGTGGCTGAGGGATCAGGGGTCGCCACGGCCGCACCTCCGCGGTCCTCCTGCCCGGCGCCCCGGGAACCCCGCAGGGTGCGCCGGAGCCCGAGGCCGGTTTTCCACGCGGTGAGGCGGATTCGGAGTGCCTTAAACATTGTGGTGCCAAAGTTCAGCTACGGTAAATTCGAATCTTCGCCAGCCTCTGACTTCCGCGGCGCCCGCCCTTCACTTTTGGATGTTTTGAGGAGGAAGTTCCAACCAGCGAAATAACTGAAAAGGTGCCTCCAGCACCCGATTTCGRTGCATCCATAAAAGCCACGAAAAGGCCTGAGGAAAAACTCGAAACCCACCAAAACGTGCTGGGGTCCTACCGCTGGCAAGGACCARCCCCAAACTCCACAACTGTGCTCACCCCCAGCTTAATTCCCAAGTCGGCCATTAAGGAAAGGCCAAGAGACATTTACTTTCCACTCGCTTCCGAACGGGATCATTGGATTTGTCAACGCGCCGGGACATCGCGGGTTTCGAGGCCCGAGGTCACCCAAGGAGGCCTGTCGGCGGTACTGGGAGCGCAGTCTGGGATCAGGGAGGTCGCGCGGGCCCCTGGCCGTCCCCGGGCGCGCACCACCCGGGCACCCGGACGCGCGGCGCCGAACAAAGCTGGCCTGGCGGCGGCCTCCCCAGCCCGCGTCCAGCGGTAGGTCGGCCCAGTTGCGTTCTACTGCCCAGGGGTCTGCCCCGAACGAGGCCAGGGTCTGGGTGTATTTTGGAGGCGCTGTGGCCGCCAAGGCCGGCTCCACAGTCCAGCACCTAGAGACCGGTGGCGGGGTGGGGGTGGGGGGGCGGGCGGCGCCGAGGCAGCGACACTGACCCCTCCCGCGCCCGCCAGGCGAACCGGCCTCCGTCTCCAGTCGCACTGGCTCCCAGCTGTCCCCAAGCGGCCAGGCCACAACGCCCTCCGCGCGCAGGTCCCCAACTCCGAGGAACCGAGCCAAGTTTACTTGGCCCACAACTCTTTTCGCGGCCGCGCGCGTTCCGGTGGGGGACCAGATCCCCTCGGCCCACCTGGCCCAGGGACCAGGAGCAGCTCGGACACTGGCTCGCGGGAACGGGGGAACTTTCTCCCACTCCGAGACGCGCGCAGCCGCTCCCGCCATTCACACTTCCCAGCCCGGTGGACGTCCCGGATTCCCCGGCCACCCTGAGGTCCCCGGCCCTCACCGTGCTCAGGAGCCCCGTCCGGCGGCGGCAGCTCCTCGTCCGACTTGAGGTGTTGGGGCTTGGCCTGCTTGCGCCGAGACATGCTGCTAGCGGCGCTCGGGCTCCGCGCGGGGCAGCGGCATCAGCGGGGAGGCCGGCGGGGACGGTGCGGGGCGGGCGCGGGGCGGCCGGGTGGGCGCGGGGCGCGGGGCGCGGGGCGGCGGCGGCGGCTGCGCGGGCCGCGCATGGGGCTGAGCAATTAGGCTGGTGAATAATGCATGGCCATTAGCGGAGGGCCGCGCCGATTGGCCGGCCTCCAGCGGACTCCGGCGGCCTATGCAAATRAGGCCGCGCTCGCAATTAGCGGTCGCGCGGGCGAGGAGGGGCCGCGGCGCCTCCGGACCTGGGCGCGCGCTGCCCGGCACCGCTCACATCGCGGGCTCTGCTGCCCGCGCTCTGGCGCCGCGCTCCTCAGCCGCCCCAGGTGCGGCTCCGGCGGGCCCGGGTGCGGCGCTGGCCGCGGCGGCTACCCCTCGGCAGGGCGCAAGCAGCAAACTTTGGAGGCGTCCGCGCGGCGCCGTCTCCGCCGGCGTGCCGGGCTCGCCCCTTTATAGAGTGTCTGCGCCGTCGCCCGCGCACCGCGCCGCGCCCCCCCGCCGCCGCCGCCGCCGGGCGGCCCCTCCCGGAGCGAGCGGCCGCGGGCAGGGCTCCGGCCCGGCGCCTTTGTCTCGCCGGGTCGCTCGGGCGCCGCGCCGCCTGCGCTCCGGGCGCTCCAAGCTAGCCGCCGCCTTCTTTCCTCCGCGGCGGGTCGCGGCACCACTCGGCACGCCGGGCCCGCTCCGGCTCAGGTGCCCCCTCGCTCCGGACCTTCTCTCCAGGCTCGTGTCCCCTCCACGGGCTCCCTCGGCGGCAGGCCAGGCTCGTAGGCTCGCGGCCGCAGCGGAGCGGAGTGCGCACGCCGGGGTGGCGGGACTTCGGCAAGACCAACTTTCCGGTTCGGAAGCAGCGCGGGCCTCGCGGCTCCTCCCCTCCCTTGCGTTCCCCTCCCCTCCGCTACCCCCCAGTCTCTCCGCCTCCCCCCCCCTCGGGCCCCACCGACTCTGAAGCTCCCGCCCCGCCCGCCGCAGCCACCAGGGCCTCCTCGGCCCCCACGCCCGCCCGCAGGGGCCTCCCCGCAGCGGCGGCTTCTTAAGTCCAGGAAGGGAGGGGACGGCGGGGACTCCGCCGTCCCCTCCCCGCCCCCGTTCCCCTTCACGATGGGCGCAGTGGCCCCAGCGCCTACTGCCCGGGGCCTGCGGAGTGGGCAGAAAGCGCGACTGAAAGTTCCAAGTCCACCAAAGTCCCGCGCGCGGCCCACCGTGTTCTCGAGATTTCGGGGGTGACGTGTGTGTGTGGGGGGGCTAGGTGAGGGGGTCGCGCACGTCTGGGGCATCTGGCACAACGCGCTCCCGGTACCCACCCCCGCCCGTGGTCACAGGAACGCGCCCTCGCACCCGCGCTTTCTCACCCGCAGCCGAGCACGCGCGCAGGACCGCGCGTGTCCTTCGTCCCTGAGCGGCCGCCAGGATGTGCCCCAGGCCTCGTCCCCGCCGCGCTTGTACCAGTGCCCCTCGCCTAGTATGTCTTTTTCAATTTACTGAATTTCTTATTTTTGTCCTTGCAAGCGGTCCTGTGTTATACGAAGCTTCGGCACCGAGGGCCTCCTAGCGCTTCCCCCAGTGTCGTTCGCGGCTGGAGTGGGGAGCAGGCGGTGACTAGCCAGTCTGGACGCCTGGCTCCCGGCTGGGCTCCTGTGGGCGTGCTCCTGTCTGGTGGAATCCCCTGCCCGGGCGCCGTACGTCCCGCTCTCCGCCCGCTGCTTTTCGGTTCTAGACTGCGATTCCCAGCCCGCGTTTTCCCGCCCGCCTCTAGTAGTGTAAGTTCCCGAAGCCACAGCTTTGGGCTCTGGGAAAAGCGCATAGAGTTATGCAGAAGAAGAAAGCTTACAGGTTGGAGTCGTCTCCAAACAGCCCCAAGAGCCACTTACGAAAAAAAAAAATTCTTAAGGTTGGTTTTGTTTTGCCTTTTGGTGGAGAGCGTATTCACCTAAGTGGTTTTTTTTTTTTCCAAAAGAAAGGCTATTAAATAAAAGATGTTTGAAATCTAGATTTTCCTTTTAAACATACATCGGTTGCGCTTTTATAGTTAAGCTCTGAGGCGAAATGTCTTTGTACATCAGTCGCGCGGTGAAGTTTTGCGAAGGCTGCAAGCATCTGGGGGTTGCTCTTGCGTGTGGCGCAAAGGCGCTCTCGGTGGTGAAAAGTTTGCAGCTCGGGTATTTGGGGCGAGCGAGGGCAGGAATTCTTCCTGGGAAAAGAGGGCAGAGAAAGTTACAGGAGTGGGAAGATAAAAATGAAAGTGTGGTGTGTGTGTGTGTGAGAGAGAGAGAGATGTGGGGGGGTAGAGTGGGAAATTTTTCAGATGCACAGGATCGGCAGGAGTTTGGGAAGTCGCAGCGCCTCGGCAGGAAGGCAGACATTGCCATTTCTTTCTAGAAGAGAAATCATASAACCTTCATGAGTTGCTACCACCTCTTGCAAAAGGTGCGCTGTCTTCTATGACCTGATGAATCCCCTCTCTTTTCACTTTCTCTTGTAATGGACACACTTGGGAAGAAGAAGCAAATGCAGGTTCCCACCGCGTCTGGATACTTTCAGGGAAGATCTGACCCCGCTCCCTCCACAGCTTCCTGGCCCTTGGCACCGGCTCTTCATTGGGTCACATCACCTGTCCCTCCCCACCATTTTGTGGTTGAGGTCCTCTCATACTCCCACCCCCATTCATCAGTCTCTCCAAAACAACGACGGGAATGATTTTCCCACGTCTTTCTGGTGCTTCCAAATGCAGCTGTTTAATTTCATGGACTTTGCATTTTCTATGAGGTGTGGTCACCGGGAGGATCTTTTAAGTACCTCCAGTGAAGGCGAATCTGAGCCCAGTTCTTCATGTGTTAAGAAGCAAGCCTTCAGATTTCAGAGGTACTCAGAGAGTCCTAAGTGGAAAGGTAAAGCAGGCGGGGCTCGGGCTTGAGTGGTCATGGTGGAAAAGAGCTGGTTTCGGGGCAGGGTGTGGAGTTCTCACTTTGGACCAGCCTGGGTGGGCTGCTGTCCCAGGGTCAGGGCAGCATAGGGCCCTCCCAGCAGCCTGCATGAAGGTAGGCTCCACATCTCACTCTGCTCAGGCTGCCCTGGAATTTCGTTGAGAAGATGGAGCAGAGACTTGGAAGAAAGGGCCAGAAGGCTGTGTGCAACGGTAACCCGCACAAATCCCCTCTAAATACTGCACTAGCCCAAGTACTGCGCTGGAGTGGACCAAAGGGGCACCCTTCTGATGATGGTCGAGGACAGAAAGCCGAAAAGGCACACAACTTCCTGACTTACCTGTTCCTTTCTGTTTCTCGCCTCCCCACACTCAGATCAGAAACCTTTATTCAGTTCTCATTCAGTGTGGCAAGTTTTAATGAAAGCATTTGTATTTTAAGCCTTAGTGGCAATAATATATTTATTGCAAAGTGTCAATGAGGTATTTTCACAGATTAGAGGCAGCATGCTTGCTCTGGTTGTGTACAGATTGATATACAGAAATATAGAGCAGAGGTGCAGACACTCAGTTAGCACCAGGCACATGCATGCTTATCATCACATGACCACTGTCTATTAAAATATTGCAATACCTAAACACTATTGCAAATACAAAAGTTGCTTTTCTTTCCTATAATTAAATCTAATTTGTTAATTGTCTTGTTCCTCTTGCCATGTTGTTTTCATCTTAAGAGGTGACATGTTATTATTTTGTCTGCTTAATAATATTATTTACAAATTAATACTGTATATTTTACATTAGTGAAACATATAATTAGGTGTTTGATTTAATTTGGATCATTTATTCAGATAAAACAGAAAGCCTATCTAAGGTTGATTTGACAAGGGGAGGTTGAATAGTCCTAATTTAACGTTACAGTCACAGTTCATGGAAGCTACCTGGCCCCAAATGCACAAAAGACAGTTTTTCATGAGGTGCATTTGACATTTTGTTTATAATGTGTTTATTTCCCCAAACTTAATACAAACTGGACATTCACATGTTAGGGGTTTCATTTTTTTTTGGGGGGGGGTCGCCTTGTATTCTTTTTTCCTTCCAAAGTTCATTTTTTTCTACTCACTGGGCATCTCCTTCGCTTCAGTTCCTTCCCCACCCCCAACTTTTGTTCTAGGTCCTTAGGGTTAAATTCAGCATGATTTTGTGTCTTTAATGCTGTGACAAGTGACCGCTAATTGGTTCTCACTTGAGCAAAGATATTACCATACTAATATTATTATTGGTAAGAAGAGGTAATTGATAACACCACCTGCCACTCTGGGGCAATCACGATGATAAATGTTTCCATCAACAGGAAATCTGTGCTTGGTGTACCACAGYCCAACGCAAACAGCATGTCAAGTGCCAATTATAAAGATGTTGCTTTTCCATTACATGGGGGGGGGCGCTAGAAAATGTAGCAAAAAATAGATTTGTGTTTTTTTGAAAATGTTTTATACAAGCTTCTGTTCACCAAGTTGAAGTTAACTTTCCCCAGAAAAATAAAAGGATCTAACTAAATAATCCGGTACAAGATAACTGCCCTGCTCACACTGCTAGGAAGACCCTGCCTCCTCTGTGCAAATCCATTGAGATAAATGTGTCCACGTGTCTTTAATAGGTGGGAGCTGTGTGCAGAGCATATAAATCCACCTTGGTCCGAGTGCTCTGAAGCTTCCTGTGGGTTCTTCACAGGACACTGGGCCAGTTCACTGGAGGTATGGGCAGGCAAGCATCCCACAGCTTTTTATGGCATACACGGGAAACCGCACATGGCTATCCTCTTCACACCGAGGGGTGCAAACGTTGTTGAAGTACTTCTTGCCTAATGATTGGACTTTTTATCGCAGCTGCATGTGGCCAGGGAGGGGCGCTTCAGCAAGAATAATCATATAAAATAATGCTGGGGAGTTACAACTTTGACTCCCTTGCCTACAGGGAGGCTCAAACGATTATTATTAGCTTGCATTAATAGATGCAGGCCTC